CCAGTCTTACTTTAAGGAAACATTATCAAGCTTAAGTGAGGTTTTGAATAACGATAGAGCATAACAACTTCGTTATAGCTCACGATGAGTGGATCCCGTTTTCTTGATTTTGTGCTGATTTTGCGTAAAATGCTGGCGAAAATTTATGCCGCCCATGTGTTGAATTTGAAATTCGCTTATGCTCGACTTTAAGAGCGGATTCAAACTCAATGCAACTCAACTATAATACCGGCGGCAGACATTTGTGGATGTGTGTGTCGGCGTCTGTTTGTGTGTGTGTGTGCTGTGGCTTGGTTGTGTTCCTGTTAGCTGCCACTTCCTGCAAGTCATTTTGATTTATTGCCAATGATTTTCCAAGTTATTGAACAGATTATATGGGCGTTTTGTTTCTTCGACAGAGTCCACAGTGCCAAACAATTTGTTTATTTCTGCGCCAGTTAGAGAAAGAGAGAGAGATGGAGGGCGTCTCTCTCAATTTCTCGACATATATAGTACTCGCTATAACTTATGAGCTAGTCGTTAGTTTTTTTCAACACGCCATTAAATGCAGGAGCTAAAGTCTGAAGCTTAAATTGAAAATTTGCTCGTTTCTAGTACAGCAAGTTTTCCAAATGAATGACAACGGTCCGTTGGAATGAAGTTTAGATGCCAAAGTGAATGGGCCAGGGCAAGCACACCTACACTCTCTGAGAGACGTAAGCAGCAGAAAGGGAATGTTAACGGAGCTGAGTTTCTTATTAAAATTGTGTGCAGACCGAGTCAAATTCTGTGGCCAGCAAATCTTTTGCAACAATGGAGCCAAAGCAGCGGACAACAAGCAGTGCGCAGAGATTGAATATAATATATATAAGTAGAAAATAACTATAAATATCATATTGCAAAAATGACCAACAGACACTGGGACGCAGGGACAACATGAGTCTGGCAAACAAGCAAAGTCACAGCCACTGCCTGATAATAATGCTGATAACAAGAACCTAACAAATGGGTGAGTTATGGCTCAAAAATAACCATCGGGTGTCCAAATACCCTGTGATTTTTAAAGCGTACTTTCCGAAATCCAAATCCATAACAAACTACTATATCTTTTTCAAATATTAATTTTAGGTTCTTTACGCAGTCAAATTCATTATAATTTATCCTGAAGATAAAATTACCATGAGGTTAAATTTAAGTATTCTCAGAAGCATACAAATTTTAAATGTTGCATATACTTATATTCAGTATATTAATAAACTGAAACATTTTCTATAAAAGGCAAGTAGAGTTACCATTGCAGTTTTGACTATTTTAAGCATTATCAAATATTGCATATATATTATTAAGAAACTGTTGAAAAAACATTGTTTTATAGAAAGGATATGGACTCAACTTAAAGAGAACATTTTAAAATATATAATATTGGTTTCTTTAAAATATTTAATATATCTTCCTAGCAACCACTAACAAATATTTTTAATGGGTATCATCCGCCCTTAACTTCTTATTGTTGTAGTTATAAGATCTCCCGCTTCGACTTGTACACACGTGCTTTTACATAATACAATTTGAAACCGACGCACAATCAATATGCACCACAATTACAGGGAATTCAGCAGCTTGCTTGCATTTTGTATGGTCTTGTCGTTGCGGCATCTCTATCTTTCAAACTCTATGCAGCCATATAATTGAATTCTAACCCGACGAGCCATCTGCAGGGTAATAAGAGGGCAGCAGCAGCAAACGGTCAAACCAGAACCACAACCAGAACCAGAAGCAGAAATGGTAGCAAAACCAGCGCCAATAACTGCATAGACAGGAACAACAACCCAACCCTCCCGCTGGCTACCAAAAATATAATAGAAAAATTGTGTGTCTGTCTGCATTTACTGCACGCTTTTCACTGGCAAAAAATTCAATCAGAATTTATTATTGCCGCCAATGCTGATGACCGGCGCAAAGCGGCTTAAGATTTTCTATTCTATAAATCATCATTGGGTAAGTGACAAAGTTGACGTTTCTGTTATTCTATGTGGAAAATTGACGGATATCTCGGTAGCATTATATGCGTGCTCAGTGTGAAATATTTAACTGGCAAATGACATGCTGTGAGCGGAAATTGAAATATGTTTTGACCCGGTTTTTAGCGCACAGCAAGTATACGCACCGTTGAGCAGTCAAATTAACTAGAATCTCTATACCCTGTACAAATAATTTATTGCAGGGATGATGCAGGGATGATTTATTAATAGATTAAAATCGAAAGTGCCCGTCTAGGGAATACCCTGAACGTCCTTTTACCAACAAACAAACAAATGTAGCTCTCGCTAGAAGCTACGTGTCTCTGCACGGACGGACGGACATGGCTAGATCGACTTGGCTATTGATGCTAACCAAGAATATATACGCATCATGGAGTCGAAGATGCTTCCTTTTGCCTGTTACATACATTTGCACAAATGCATTATACCCCTTTTGACCATATTCAACAGGTGCAGGGCATCATATCGCATAGATTATTTGAAAACTATATACTTAGTTCTATCAGCTCTGTTAACACCAAATGCAGGGTATATATTAGCCGGTAAACGTTCATCTGACAAATCGTTTTTAATTATGTCGAGCAATATGCAACTTTTACAAAAACCAATACCCCACGCAGTTAATTGCAATTGTGCGAACTGAAATTGACAAATTTAAATACTGCGACATGCCACAAAAGGTAAATTAAAGATTCTCCGTGCACAAGCAAACAAATAACAGCTTGGAGCTAAAGATCATTTGAGAGCTGTTGTCAAAGTAAAGCTTTCGAGTTGCTGCGCAATTGAAACGTGTTCGCTGCAGTAGCTGAGCCGAAAGCTGAGCCAAAGCTTAAGCAACAGGTGGGCAGAGACTGCAAAGGGGGCGTGTCGTATTGGGTTTGCCTTTTGTGGCACAACAAAACAAAGTCCGGTATATTTCCATTAAACGCGAAATGTAAATTGAGCGAAGATTTAAAAAGTCAAAAGACTGCAAATTGTGTCTGATTACCCACGACACTTTAACCCGCGTGTACTTTAAGTACTCTGTTTGATTGATAATCAGGCGGGCGCACAAAGACATTTGCTTGGCATGAGCTACAATGTTTCGTTGCCCTTTTGCAGACTTTTTCGCATGCACAAATAAAGCAAAGGGTTTCCCTATTAAGGATTTAAAAATCAATGCCGTCTGAGCTGCTCATTGCGCCCGATTGCCTCAAGTACGAATCACCAAGACAACAGACAGCAGGGGCTTTACGTAGCCGATAGCTCAAATATCATGCACAACAATTGGCAATCGGCGAGGGTAAGGGGGCCAAACGCAGACATCAGGACAGATAGCATTAAATATTTTCTTAATAAGGTTAATCAACTTTTCTATAGTAATACCAGAAGGTGGCTTGAAAAGTTTCAGGCTACTTACAAATTACACGCAACAGAAAACAATGCTACGATATGAGAGCTTAGCTTAAATAAGATAATATGGAAGCAAATTTTTAAGTAGTATTATGACAGAGAGGAATTATTTTGACAGAGAGGAAGTCTATTATATTTACTTATAGAATAGACAGAGAGGAAGTCTATTTTATCTGCTTCGGGTATATCGAATTTGGATATAGATATAGAAAAATAATCGGATATTAAAAACAGAAAGACAAATGTCAATTATAAAGTTCATTTTCTGAAGATCACAATTTCTACTGCTTGTTACATAAATACGCACTAGTTGTATGTACCCCTTTTATCGGTTACAAAGTATGACAAATCACTCTGAACAATGCTCAAAATCTGTGCCAGCTTGCAATTAAATTCAATTAAAATAAATGAAACTAAAGAAAACAAGAGGCTCTAGTCGGGAGCTACCGACTAGGGAATACCCTAATCCCTCCTCTACCAACACCAATTCACCTCGCGCTACGCACTCGTTCGCTTCAGCAACAAGAAGAGTAAATTCAAAATAAAAAACTATTACCTCGATAGGTCCCGACGGAGTGATTAAAATAGCAGCACAGAAATACAATAGAATCGCAATTGGCATGCTGTTGATAGAATTCAATAATGACGCGTTTGAATGTGTGTGTGTGTACATGTATACAGAAATTCCGGAAATTCGCGCTAGCAACCGCAACCACGTGGGCAGCCAAAACACTTTTTTTCCAATAACTTTCGTGCTTCTAATCTGATTTTACTATAGAATATTCGTGTATTTTCAAAATTGCTGGGCAATGTATATGTATATTATATACTATATATATACTATTCTAGTTTGCTGTCTCTAGCTCTTAAAGCATAGAGATTTGCTCAAATAACACGATTTCGATATCGATTTTTATCGATTACTTGGAAAAGGGGCAAGCTATCGATTATCGAAAACAAACTCGTACTGCGCGGGCACTAGGAGGACCTACGATCCATTTAAAATATCTAGCTCTTATAGGTTCTGAACTCGTAGCGTACGGACGGACGGACGGACGGACGGACAGACAGACGGACAGACGGACGGACAGACAGGCTAGACATGGCTAGATCGATTCGTATGTTGATGCTGATTAAGAACATATATACTTTATGGGATTTAAGATGCTTCCTTCTGCCTGTTACATACATTTGCACAAATACATTATACCCTTTTTACCCATTTTCAGTGTATAAATGGATCAACCGCAAGAGGCAAACTCACGCACACACACAGACACACTTATACACACACACACACGCCCAAAGACTTGCCCATAGTATATACAAGAATTCACCGCAAGCGAAGCTGCTGATCAAAACAAAATAGTTTTTTCTCATTGTTTTTCTTAATTTTTTGTTGCTCTTTCTCATGTTTTGTTTTTTCTTTTTTGGCGGCCTCTTTGCGCCGAACTCGTTTTGAGTTCCACTCACAATTTATTTAAACAATTTAAACTGAGTAGAAAAAAGCTTCGCGCTCTGCACTCAAAACAAGTTGAGAGCTAGCGCGCAGTTTAACAGGCAAACAAACAAACCAAATGCGCATTCAGTTGGGCGACGGCAGCGAAACAGTTTAAAGCGTTCAGTGCTCGAGTTCGTGTGTTAATTTCGACAAAAGTTTTAACAAAAATAGAAAGAAAAAAAAAACAAATATATAAAATGCAGCAACAAATTTTCGCCTGTTTGCTAATTGCCATGTGCCTCATGCACAGTGGTAAGTTTATTTTGTGTGCTTTTTTCTAATAATAAATTAAATTAGATTTGAAATTTCGAAATGCGAAATGCAAATTATCGAAAGCTTCAAATTGGAAACCGGTTTGGATTTTTCAATATCAATTCAAAGGGCAAAACACAAAGCTAAAGAGAAAATAAAATATTCAGAAATTACTTCAAAATAATTTATGAAGAAACTTTGATGGAAAGTTTTGAAAAAAATTGTGCAAGAAAATTACCTAAAAATGTGTTTAAACCAAAACAATTCCAATTTAGATCAAATAGGTCCAAAATATAAAATGAATTACAAGAAAAACCTGTTTGTAAAACAAATTGCATAAGCATTTAATTCATCTTTGAACAAATATCTCCTTTATCTGTATTATTTGACAGTGCAATGAATATCCAGTTAGAATTAATGTATTACATAAAATATTTGCAAGCTCCAACTAGACTTCTCTTTATAGAGTTCTTCTTTATAGGTTTATTTTTCGCTACAAATTTGATTAGAAAGCAGAAAGTTTTTTTGAATCATATTCATATTCAGGTACTCAAATACAACAAAAAACTTGATTTTAAAAAAATCCGCAAAAAGCATTGAATAAAAGATGAGCTATTTCATTTTATGCACGTATTCAAACCAAATATAAGTCGCAGCTAAAGCTGATCTCATAGCCAAAACAAACATAGGTAAACGTGTGTTTATAGAGAATTCCAATTGGAATAGACAATTCGCAGAGGGCGTTACATAATGAAGCAAACGTAACGGAAGGCGGCTCAGGTAAACTGGTTGTAACCTGAGCGAATTTGTATAACAAATAAGATTTGACCTTGTGACGTCTCTCTCTCTCTCTCTCTGTCTCTCTTTCTCTAATTGTCTCTGCTGCTCTCATCCACAGCAACTGCCATCAAATGCTATCAATGCAAGTCTCTGACGGATCCCAACTGCAGCAAAGATACGCTCGATGCCAATTCGAATATACGCCAGGTAGACTGCGATAGCGTGGCCAAGCCGAATACCATGGAGCAGCTGCAGCCTGTGACCAGGTGCAACAAGGTGGTCACCAGCGGTAAGTGTAAACAAAACTAACCCGACCCAGCCCCCCCCCCCCCCCCCCCTGCAGCTTAATTTGCATGCACCAAGTGTAAACACCTTGAGCGCAAATAAAAAAATCTAAATTATTATTAATGATGTCATTGCGTAGACGCTTTTAGCTAAACGACTCAAACCCGGGGCCAATGTTTATTAGCATACGTAAGGAATACAAATCGCTTAAAAAAACGCAAGTATTCGAGCTAGAAGTAAGTTTTTGACTGCCTACATGAAGCGAATTTCAATCATGAGACAAAAATAAAGCTTTGCGTGGGCTTAACATTTGGTAATCCCGTTGAAAATCTCAAAAATCAAATTCGAAATAAACAAACTAATTGTAAATAAAACAATTTGAAAAAAAAAACGAGTCAAAATCTGATGATGCATTGCTATAAATAAGTCAAAAAACGTAAAAATAATTAAAATGTTCAAATTGTTAAGAAAAACCAAATGGAATATGTGCAATCTTTGAGAATGAAACAATATTTGGGTTGGAAAATCTAGACGTTCTTTTAAAAAAATTAAAAATTTAAATAGTATGAGAATAAAAACAACAAAGAATCTGGAAGATTTCGTCTTAAGAGAAAAACTATTTCACAAATTCAAAATAAAGTCACATAGTTGCAAATTTAAAGAACAAGAATCTTCGGAATGATTAAGATTCTATAACCTTGAATATGTACTATAACAGATGCGGCATTTGTCAAGACTCATGCCAAGTTTCATTAGAACTACAGACTAGCTTGCAAATTAACTGACGTACATGGCTAAATCAACTTGGTGCTTGATTCTTCAAACAGAAGACAAACATATGTATAAAGACAACTCGTTCATATCGTTAATTATAAACGAGTACAGTCAAGTAAAGCTATAGATCTGTCTCGTAACTTTCGACACAAAACGTAGAGAATGTAGTTTACTAGCTCAGGCCAGAGACAACGAGTAGCTGCAGGGGTAGGAGTCATAACACTCAGACCCGTCAACATGCGTCTCGCTACTTTTGACAGCAGGAAGTACAAGCTCTCGCTAGTTTTTCTGTATCCGGAACGAGAGCAAAGAATTGAATCCCAAAGTGACCTTGATACGACGAAACTTTGCCCTATTAAGCAGAATGGTTAAACTTGTGTGCATACAAATTTAAATATGTTATAAACTTACCACAAAAAAATCAGCTTCTGACAATCCAACAGCAGCTCTGAAAAGTCTACAAAATGTCAGAAAACAAGCAACCAATAGAAAAATGGAATGAAATCAAACTCTTCTTCTTTTTTTTTTGAATTTTTCGCAACAGATCGCGCCGGCGTAATTGTCTCACGTGACTGTCACTTTGAGGTAGTTGGACAGAAGGAGAACGAGTGCACCGTAACGCACAGCCGCCAGGTGGAGAGCTGTTACACATGCAAGGGAGATCTGTGCAACGCATCCTCCGCGGGACGCTACATGGCGATGAGCGCAGCAGCGCTGCTTGCGCTGTTCGCCGTGCAGATGGCGCTGTGAGCTGCTTCGACAAGTTCACAATCAGATAATAGAATTCGTGTACAAATAATGTGAAATGTTATGCATATTGGTTTTCAATAAACAATAAACTTGTAGAATTTTGGCAAATAGTAAGTTAAACAAGCACTAACCTCATGTAATCACGTATGCATTTTAAGTTTTGCATAATGTTGCTCCTGAAGTCCACATCCATCCAGTATTCGTCGCAGTTATCCATTTCTCTTCTTCTCTTTTTATTTATTAATAACTTAGATTCGATACAAATAAGCACGAAATTCGGCAAAACAAAAAAAAAAAAAAAAAAAAAAAGACACAAAATGCACGAACGCGAATAAGATAAAAAAAAATGCAATATGGCAACACCGGCTGTTACAAATAACGGCGCTTTCGGCGCACACACAATTTGCAAACACAAATTAACTTGTTAAAATGCACGCTTACAATATGTTCCCGATATACAGACAATGCCGAATGCACTCAACAATCGCTTACAACAATTTAGAAGCCTTTAAAGACATTTTAAACACGTTTAAAACATAAATTAAAAACGAGCGACGCGCACACACACGAAGAAGACACAGAAGTGAGAGAATTGGCAATTTGCACAGGCTTCACAAGGCTCTCGTACAATGCAGCCTTTGGCAGGCCACACACGTCACAAAGTGCCGGACGACTCGGTGTGGTTCAGCGAGTAACGAGTATCGTTCAGTATTGAATAAGAACGGAAAATTAGTATGAAAGGAATGAAGGCATGTAAACAATACTGAGAGAAAGTTAATCAATTTGTTTAATTAATTTAGTTGGATACTGAGCAAACAGCGCGGCTTTTACTCTCACTGTCATACAACAAGAAAAAGCAGCAACGAGTAAGTACTCACCATTCGATACTTGGCATCGATATATTAGCAGCAATAAGAGATTAACTAATTAAATCTTTTCAAAAATGAAACAGAGTCAAGATCAAGTATATAATATTTTTTGTTCCAAACGAACGAGTTAAAGAACTAATACCAAGAAACTGGTTCGTTCTTTTGAGCTTGGGAATCACTTGCAGCTTTTATGTTGCTAGAGCATAATTATTGACTCAATTAGTTAATGCATATTGTTATTTAAATGGTTTATTCTGTTGTAAAAATGTTCTAAATTGCATTACAATAAAATTTGTAAACTTTCGTCGCTTAAACTAAACATTTGTAAAAACTGCATACAATATATAAGAAAATAATCGAGATTACACTTTGATCCTAAATGGTACGGAATATGTGCGCGTGGAATAGATGTCTGAAGGGATTTATATATACGTGCGCAGAGGCAGGACGGAAATGCGTTCCAAGTTAAGTTAAGTTCATTTCGGTTCGAGTTGAAGGCACATTGAAAAATTACACATAGAGAGTGGTACAGTTCGCTTTGGCTATAGTGGCTGCTGCTATTGCCGCAGGAAGTGCGCGACAAGGCCAACGGCAAAGGTGCCAAAGAGGACGCTGGTCAAGCTGCTCCGCTGCAGGCCCGCACCGTTGCAGCCGTCCTTGCTGTTGCAGGTGCAGAACTCCATGAAGATGTTGTAGCTGCCGGTGCGCATCAGGCAGAAGCGTTCGTCCCCCTCAATGCCCGGCTCGCCCATGTAGGCGCAGCTGCGGAAGTAGCGCCATTCGCCGTGCACCTTCTGGCGAATCTTGCGGCACATGGTCGGACGCACGCCCTTCAGGTGCTCCAGCTCCGGCGCCTGCTGGCAGTCCGTGATGGCCAGTGTGCTGTTGTCGAAGGGATCTCCGCACTTGGGATCGTTGTCGGAGCGGCAATCCCAGCATTTGATGGCCCAAGCTGTGTGTGAGACACCACGAGACAAGATTTGTAGTTTGTTTGTTTGTGTTTGTGCGCGCGGCTACGCATGCGACTTACCTGTTTGCAGCAGGCAGCCCAAAACGAGGGCGGCCAGCATGCATTTATCCATTGTGTTCATGCTTAGATACGTTTTTAATTAATAACTAATTTGTAAGCAGCGAATAATTAATGAAAACAAAATGCGAACACCGCCCTAAAAAATATGATGCGCGTATCGATAGATTTTGGCGTTTATCGATGGGAACAGAGCTGCCACCTGGTCGAAGTTGGTATTTTTTGCGTGCCTCAAATGCTGTGAGCGAATTTCTGTTAAATGAGCAGTTCAGTGCTGTTAGCAACGGCCAGGCAGGTAAGTCTATCGCTTGGCCGCCACATTCAAACTGCTGTAACTGCGCTGTTATGGCTGTTGTTTAAATCAAATTTTATGCTTTTAAAGCAAACTCAAGGAAATTTAAGTTCTTTATGCCATAACAGAGCCTGCCTTATAGAACATACCTATCGCTTTTTAATATATACCGAAACGGTTAAAATTAACGCGCGCTGTTAAATAACATTACAGCGCCCTGTTAACTTATTGATGCCAAATATCATATGTTATTTTTTTTCAGTTTTTGGACGGACTCGAATTTTTCAAGTTGTTGCAACTTGCGGAGTTGCTTAAAAACTTTTGTTGGCTACATTCGGCTGCCGCGCGTGCTGAGTGAACGTGTGTGAATGATAGCGCTCACTGCATTATTAACCAAATACACGATCGGTATTATGAGCAATTTAAGCAATGGCAATTTGCAGCAGAATCAACAACAGCAACAACAACAACAACAGCAACAACAACAGCAGCAGCAGCAACAGAACAACGTTGAAGCGGGCGCGGGTGCGGCTGCGGCGCCCCTATTAATGGAGCCTGGCGCAATGCCCGCCCCTGGCCTGGGCGTTGCGGTGGGCGTGGCGCAACGCCAGCGCCTGCTGCTGCAGCAGCAGCAACAGCAGAATCCCGCCGCCGAGGGCAGCGGCCTGGACCGCGGCAGCTGCCTGCTGCGCTACGCCAGCCAAAACAGCCTGGACGAGAGCTCCCAGAAGCACATCCAGCGGCCCAACGGCAAGGAGCGCGGCACTGTCGGCCAGTACAACAACGAGCAGCACACGGCGCGCTCCTTCGATGCGATGAACGAGATGCGCAAGTAAGCACAATCACGACTAGCAAATACCCTGTAGCTGTGGGAAACAACTTTGTTTACCTTGTAAATTCGATGCGCAAGTGAAAAATGGAGTGCTCGTTCGACAGATACCCAGTGCGTATAGTTAGTGCTGCGACTAGCAGACACCCTGTGAATATAAGAAAATATTTATTCTGCTCTTGAAAGTGTAAATGCTTTGACCAGTAGATACTCCTTAATAATATTGCTTCTACTTAAATAACTTGCAATTATTGTCCGATTGATGTGATATTTTCGAGACTAAAGTATGGCATTCATATGTGTGCATGCACCAAAAACCCAGGTGAAACATTTTTAAAGGGTATGGGTAATTGGAAATTATAATAATGTGGCCCAAAAACAAACAAGACGCGACGCGCAAATAAACTAAAAAGCACAGTATAGCCGACTAGGAGATACCCTGTGAGGTAATCTTAAATAACTTCCATGTATACAGGGTATTATAATAACATTACTTGTACAGAAGAGCTGGAATATGCTTCCAAAAAGTTAAGATATGCCGTCTAAAACATAAATCGAAAGCAAATGAAAGGTTACATATTGTGGCACATTTTCAATAGGCCCGTCTCGCCCAATTTTAATGGGTATTGGGCATTAAGACCTGAGAACTCATTAAATCCGTCGCCTGTTACATATTGTGGCACAATATCGATACACCCGTCTTGCGCATTTTTAATGGGTATCGGGCACCCAAAACCTGACATCTTATAAGATTTGTTTATTTTGGTCTTGGCAAAAATATGAAAAATATAATGGGCCAAAAAAGCTGTCGCGACGCGGTCAACAGTTGTTTGTGCCGATCTCTCGACTCACATTCCCTCGCATAATTGCGCATTACGCTTTATTTGTAGGTTTTGGCCCCCTTCAACTTTGCACAGATAATGCACATACTCTAAAACTATATATATATATAAATTATTTTGCCTTTAAATTTTGTCGCTTTATTTGCTTTTGTCAAGAGGCCATTCGCTTTAACATTCGACTTTGCGATTTTTGCTCTGATTATGATGATGACTTTTTTATATTTTTTTTTTTAGCATTTTGTTTTCGTTTTAGACAAAATAATTTTTGCCCTTGAACTTGAAGTCGCTCAGTTTTTTTTTTTTCTCGTTTTCTCTCTATGTATTCGCTTCCCACTTCCGTGTGAGGCCAGCTGATTAGATGTCATCTAAATGGAAAACTACCTTGATGGAATTTTTATTTATTTTTTTTTTTTTGGTCTTCAAACCCGTTTCGATTTTATATTTTATAAGCCAATGCCCTAAACGAGCTACGCACTGTGGGTCCAAGAGACACAAATCGTCGGCTTTTTTGTTCATTTACATTTTTAAGCGTAACGAACTTGAATTAATTGAACATTATTTGAGGTGTTTGTTAAAAAAAAACCCAAATAATTGTTAAAAAAAGTGCTTGAAATGTGTAACATTTCGGTTTTTGGCGTAATTTCAATTAACAAAACTTTTTACTTTAATTTTTTAAATGCCAAATATTTCTATTAAATTTATACTAGAGCCACTTTTTACTTTTCCTGAAAATTCTTTCATCTACAGAAAAGGGCCTTCGAAAAAATATTTCATAATTGGCTAAATTTAAATAAATCCTTTGTTTTGGTTACACAAATTTAAAACATTTAATACAAAATTAAAATGTTATTATTAATAAAAACAATAATAATGAAATAAGTAGTAAATATCTAGTCGGTTGACTAGAGGGCCAAGCGAAGTGTGGAGATTGCACGGCGTTCAAACAATTTTCTTGTAAAAAATGTTTCATATTTCACATACACATACACATGCACATACACATACACATACACATATACATACACAGCGCAATTCAAATTCGAACTCTAGATAAGATACTGAAAGAGGCTTTCATGCATCTCACATACATATACAAATACGTTCATATATATGCATATACATTCATACACATATACAAATACATTCACTTATATATTCACATACATATACATATATCTCGCACCACTGTGCTTGATTTTATAGAAAGTTTATATGCTAAGCTTTTAATTGCTGACCTTACTCAATAACCACATACCATCCGCTCGCTCCATTCTCATTTGGTACAGACAAAAACAGCTTTGTGATGTCATTCTGGTCGCGGACGATGTGGAAATTCCAGCGCATCGCATGGTCCTGGCCTCCTGCAGCCCCTACTTTTATGCAATGTTCACCAGTTTTGAGGAATCGCGCAAAACGCGCATCACGCTGCAAAGTGTCGATGCCCGTGCTCTGGAGCTGCTCATCGATTACGTGTACACATCGAATGTGGAGGTGAACGAGGACAATGTCCAGGTGCTGCTGACGGCGGCCAATCTGCTGCAGCTGACGGATGTGCGGGATGCCTGCTGTGATTTCCTGCAAACCCAATTGGATGCCAGCAATTGTCTAGGCATACGCGAATTTGCCGATCTGCATGGCTGCGTCGAGTTGCTTAACTATGCGGAGACTTATATTGAACAACATTTCAAGTGAGTGGACAATCCGGGCAATCAATCAGTCAATCAATCAATATATATTCCAATTTCTGTTACATTTCTTATGTAGAATGTTGAACATATATATGCAAGAATATTTCATGTACGGAATCTGATTATAATGGAATATAATATATTGTATGTTGTAGAGTCGAATAGAGTAGATTAAAATATTAACCAGAGTATTTCATTTTCATCTCTCAAGAGATTTTGTGCAGGGTATTTAGTCTTCGAAACGCCAAAGATAACTGATTAGTTCGTATATAAACGGATTCTCTAACAATTCATTATTCATCTTTCATGAAATGTGATATAGAATAGTTAATTTGAATGACTACAAAACAGACTTCGGAATAGACTAACGATATGATACAGACTTTCGAAATGATTAATGAATGATACGATATAGACTTATGCTTGATAAAATGAAAATATAATAAACAGTTGGCTGACTTGATTTAAAGACAGATTCTTCTCAGCTTAACTTATCGTGATTATCTTTTCTTCAACACATGTCGAATATAATTTCTCGCCCAACCTTCCACACATATGTACTAGACTTAAGCCCATTAACTTATTTAACCCGTTAGTCGCTCACTTTAACCAGTTTCTTAAGTGTATATACTACTTTTTTTTAATTACGCTATAATTTGGCACATTTTATGACACATACCCTAACTTGTTTCTCTCTTCTTGCAGCGAGGTCATTCAGTTTGACGAGTTTCTGAATCTCACACACGAACAGGTCATCAATTTGATATCCAACGATCGCATCTCGGTGCCAAATGAGGAGCGCGTCTATGAATGCGTCATCGGCTGGCTGCGCTACGATGTGCCCATGCGGGAGCAGTTCACGTCGGCCCTCATGGAGCATGTACGTCTGCCGTTCCTCTCCAAAGAGTACATAACACAGCGCGTGGACAAGGAGATTCTGCTCGAGGGCAACATTGATTGCAAGAATCTGATTATCGAGGCCCTGACCTATCACCTGCTGCCCACGGAAACAAAGTCAGCGCGCACCAGGCCCCGCAAGCCGGTGGGCATGCCCAAGATTCTGCTGGTCATTGGCGGTCAGGCGCCCAAGGCCATACGCTCCGTGGAGTGGTATGATCTGCGCGAGGAAAAGTGGTATCAGGCCGCCGAAATGCCGAATCGTCGTTGCCGCAGCGGCCTTTCTGTGCTCGGCGACAAGGTCTATGCCGTGGGCGGCTTCAATGGATCGCTGCGCGTGCGCACTGTGGATGTTTATGATCCGGCTACCGATCAATGGGCCAACTGCAGCAATATGGAGGCGCGTCGCTCTACGCTGGGCGTGGCTGTGCTTAATGGCTGCATCTATGCTGTGGGCGGCTTTGATGGCACCACCGGCCTGTCCAGCGCCGAGATGTACGATCCAAAGACTGAAATCTGGCGTTTTATTGCCTCCATGTCGACGCGACGCAGCTCTGTGGGCGTGGGCGTGGTTAATGGACTGCTCTACGCTGTTGGCGGCTACGATGGC